TGGGTTCATAAGCACAGGCTAACAATGCTGGGCTTATTTAAAAAAAAATATATATATATATATAATTTTTAAATTTAAATTTGAAACAAGCTTGTTTTACCTATCAATCCCAGTTCCCACACCCTCTTATTCTCCCCTTTTCTCTCTACCAACCTCCATCCCATCCCCTTTCTGCTCCCCAGGGAGGGTGAGGCCTGCCATGGGGATCTTCAAAGTCTATTGTATCATTGGAGCTGGGCCTAGGCTCTCCTCCATGTGTCTAGTTGAAAGTATCCCACTATGTGGAATGGGCTCCCAAAGTCCATTCATATACTAGGGATAAATATTGACCTACTACCAGAGGCCCCATAGATTGCCCAGTCCTCCCTACTAAAGCCACATTCAGGGAATCTGGGTCAATCCTATGCTGGCTTCCTAGCTATCAGACCGGAGTCCATGAGCTCCCCCTTGTTCAGGTCAGTAGTTTCTATGGGTTTTTCCAGCCTGGCCTTGACCCTTTTGCTCATCATTGCTCCTTGTCTGCAACTGGATTTCAGGAGTTCGGCTCAGTGTTTAGGAGTTTGGCTCAGTGTTTAGGTGTGGGTGTCTGCTTCTGCTTCTATTAGTTACTAGATGAAGGCTCTAGGATGGCATATAAGGTAGTCATCAATCTCATTATTGGGGAAGGGCATTTAAGGTAGCCTCTCCTCTACTGCTTAGATTGTTAGTTGGGGTTCATCCTTGTAGATCTCTGGACATTTTCCCTAGTGCCAGATTTCTCCTAAAACCTATAATGGTTCCCTCTACTATGGAATCTCTTTTCTTGCTCTTCTCTATTCTTTCCCTGACTCAGTCTTCCTGCTCTGTCTTTCTACTTCTCTCCTTCTCTTCCCCCTACCTCTTCTCCCCTCCCCTCCATGCTCCCAATTTGCTTGGGAGATCTTGTCCCTTTCCCCTTCTTCAGGGGACCATGTATGTCTCTCTTAGGGTCCTCCTTGTTTCCTAGCTTTTCTGGCGGTGTGAATTGTAGGCTGGTAGTCTTTTGCTCTAAAAGCCATATATGAGTGAGTACATAACATGTTTGTCTTTTTGTGACTGGGTTACCTCACTCAGGATGGTTTCTTATAGTTTCATCCATTTGCCTGCAAATTTTAAGATTCCATTGTGTCACCCCTCCACCCCGCCATGCTGAGTACATGCTTGGCTTCTTATGTGAGTGTTGGGAATTGAATACATATCCTCAGGCTTGTATAGAAAGCACTTTACTGATGGAACTATCATCCAAAACCTAAAATTATTTTGTGTTGTCTCTGTCTTCATAAAAATAACTAAGAACTATATTTCATTTTATATCAAGTACAACTTTTGGGGAGGTAGGGTTTGATCACAAGTATTATTAACTAGAAGTGCTCAGGAACTTAGTATGCTGGAACTCAATGTCAAAATACAATTTCTCAGATTATTCAAAATGAAAACTGATTAAAAACTTTCTACAGTGGGGAACAATACTGCTATAGTGTTAATGCTGAGTGTTTTCAAAAGGTTCATGTGAACCCAGGGTGGCAATGTTAGGAGAGGTCATGGACCTTCCAGGGCAGAAGCTTTGCAAGTTACTTCAGTCACTGGGGAGGGTATTTTCATGAGGGTATTGTGGGACTCTGACCTCTTCCTTTTCTTCCTACTTTTTGTTTCCTGGCTCATGAGGTAAATTGTTTTGTCATGAACTTTTGCTATGATATGATGCTGCATTAAAGGCTTAAGGTCACAGGACAACTTGATCATGAACTAGAATCTCCTCCCTCCCTCCCTCTCTCTCTCTCTCTCTCCCCCCTCATTCTCCCTCTCTCTCTCTCTCCCTCTCTCCCTCCCTCCCTCCCTCCCTCCCTCCCTCCCCCCCCCTCTCTCTCTCCAGGGTTCCTCTGTATTGCTTTGGAGCCTGTCCTGGAACTACCTCTGTAGACCAGGCTGACCTCAAACTCACAGAGATCCTCCTCCCTCTGCCTCACCAGTACTGGGATTAAAGGCTTGAGCCACCAAAACCCGGAGAACTAGAATCTCTTAAAGAAATTTAAGCTGGGGAATGCTGGTGCATACTTTTAATCCCAGCACTCAGGAGGTAGAGGCTGGTGATCTCTATGAGTTCAAGGTCAACCTGGTCTCCAAAGTGAATTCCAGTCCAGCCATGTATACAAAGTGAGACCCTGTTTCAAAAAACCACCACTACTATGACCAATAACAACAACAATGACAAAAAACAAAAAACAAAAAAACACCAAAAAGACATTTTATATTTGTAAGTTAATTATGTCAGGTATTTTGTTATAAGGCCAAAAGCTAAGACAATTACATTTCCATTATTTTTTCAAACTTTTCTGAATACACTACTAGATTAAGAGCAAAACCAAACCAAATCAAGCCAAACCAAACAAACAAACAAATCAAGAAACAAGGTAGAACAGAAAATAGATCAGAGTGATTATTAAATAACCCAAGGACAAATTAGGTTATTTTTAGGTACAGATATTTCTTAACTTATGCTATATCCTAATAAATGTTATAACTTGAAAATACCTTTAGTTGAAAAAATGCATTTAAATGGGGCATGGTGGCATATACTTGCAATTTTATCACCTAGGAGGCTACTGTTGGAGAATCCCATTGAAATGCAGTCTAGACTACATAGTGAGATTTTTTTAAAAATTCATTATGATTTATTAAAATTTGTCTTGTGATTCAGATACAAAGTAAGCTACAAACCATAGAAGCCAGGTACCCACTTATTCCCAGCAACCAGAAGCTAGGAGGTGTTTGTGTACATATTAATCCTAGGACTCAGGATTAAGAGGTAGACAGATCTCCTTGCATTCAAGGCCACCCAGGGATACACATGATCGAACTAGTCTAAAAGTGTAACAAATTACATTCCTCAGCACTAGAGGAGTATAACATATAGAAGCAAGGTCTTCAGTATTCAGTAGGAGACATTCATGCTCCAGCCATGCTGAGGCTGAGGAGAGCTAGTATTTGAGGTTTGATGAAGAGCTCGTGGAACAACCCTTTCAGCCTATGGTAGTGGTAAGAGCTAGCGGCCCACTACAATACTTTTTTGTTCTTCACCTTGAAGTTTGAACCCCAATATCTGTCTGTGGGTCTTTTCTTTTATCATGCTACAGCGAACTACAAACTCTCACTACTACCTCATGCTGAATGGGCCGATCTTGTTTCATCTCTTCAGTGTTGATGGAGAATCCTGAGACTGAATGTCTTCCTAACCTCAATCTGGCTGGAGAATGAATCTTTCCTATCCTCAATGTATCTGGGAAATGAGTGTCTAATACTGAGACCTTGGTCCTGTCTTATATGCCCCTCATGAGTGCTGGGATTAAAGGTGTGAGCAATAATTCTCTTTTATACTAATTCATTCTAATGTATCCCTGGGTGGCCTTGAACTGCCTTTAAGCCCTGAGTCCTGAAATTAAAGGTGTGTGCCACCACCTATCGACCTTTATAGCCTATGGCTGACTTTGCTTTCTGAGTCCTCAGGCAAGCTATAAAATTCATAAATAATATATCACCACAGTCTCCTCTTCTCAATCTGTACAGGCCACACCATTTGCCTTGTTCTAGCAGAAGTATTTTATTATCTAAATATGCCATGATGCCCTCACCTGGTACATTGTGCTACAACACACATGAATCTTGCTATTATCTCTTTTCATATTTGTGCTAATATTTAAGGAGTTTTATTTTCCCTGGACAGTCTATCTGAAGCTTTCTTTAGAGATGTATTACTTTCAGTCATTACCTTGTGTAGTATGATGTTCACTACTCTGTAAATTTCTATGAAAGTATTGTCATCGCATTGGTGGCACATGCCTTTAATTCCAGCACTCAGGAGGCAGAGGCAGGTGATCTCTGTGATTTCGAGTCCAGCCTGGTCTACAGAGGTAGTTTCAGGACAGGATCCAAAGCAATACAGAGAAACCCTGTCTCAAAACAACCAACCAAAAAATGTATTCTATCTACTTCATTGACAACTGTTTATAACCCTATTTCCTACACATATGAAATAAGGTTTTCTTACAGTACTTTTTTTTAAAGTATAATGTTTTTGAGAATAAGAAAATGAAATATTTAGTATAGAGCCTTTCCACTTATGATATAAATTATTATAAAATAATAATTTAGTAAATTAATTTACATAGTGAGATTTTTATGAGAGACAGAGAAAGAGAGGGAGAGAGAGACAGAGAAAATTTGATATCTAATTTAATCCAACCTAGTGTACATATACCTCAGCAATATGATAAACGGTTATCCTTGCTATGTGGCTGACTAGGAACTATAGCTTGCTTCTGCACTCAGCATTATATGGCAATGTCACATCACATATTACTAGTTCCAAACTATCAAAATGCACAATGTAAAATAAAGCTTTCTGGACATGTGTGGTACTTTTTTTTTTAATTTTTGAGACAGGGTTTCTCTGTGTAGCTTTGGACCCTGTCCTGGAACTAGCTCTGTAGACCAGGCTGGCCTTAAACTCACAGAGATCTGCCTACCTCTGCCTCCTGAGTGATGGGATTAAAGGCCTGTGCCTGGCTATGTGGTACTTTTGTACCTTTGTAAAGCTGGAAAATCAAGTCAGAAATGGTCTGGATAAATTTTCTACAATATATGGTTACAAGATATTAGTTATTTCCAACTCCTAACAGTAAAGTTATCAGAAGGATTCAGAATTGTCTTATTTTCTTGATTCAGTGCTAACAGCACCATCTTTAGGGTAGAATTATGATATTTACCATAAAAAAACAGATGGTCCTTTCCTATTTTTAAAGTGAAAGCTATCTAGTATTTTGTTCTGACTATTAAGTCAACTATAGTTTACCAGAAAATAGGAACAGAAAGGAAGATGCTGGTGCTGACAATAGTGAGTAAGCACCCTCCTTTAGGAACTGGTGTATTCATTTCCTATGAGTCTTTCTTGGAAGACAAAGGCCAATAGACAGATATGACAGTACCTCGGTAATTGATGATTTCTGTACCAAGCACCGGAGTCATCTCCAGGACTGTAATGAAGGCTTTGTCCATAGATGTCAGAGGAAAAGGAGACATACGATGTCTTCTAGCCACCTTGGTGATATCTACAGCACTGTGACCTAAACAGGAGACAATTAACTGAGAATAAAACATTGAAACACTAACAAGTAAGAATGACTTTAAATACTTAAACTTCTAATCTCTGGGTTATGGTAAGACAGTATTTCTCCTGTTTCTGACACATGCCAAAACTCTGTGGAATTTAATAATACTGACTGATCACTGAACTCCTTCCTAATCCCATGTCATAGTAAGATCCTATCACTGTTTCTACTCATGGAAGATCATATGTAGCTATCCACTCTTATGTAATCTTATTTAATACTTTGGCATTAATATTATATAGAAAACTGTTGATTTTATATGTCTGATCTCAACCTTTACCCTCAACTTGATATTTGTATATTACATAAAGAGCTGGTAGGTAATGTATTTTTCCAGGCTAGTAATCATCTAACACTTACTTAAATATGTAATAGACAACTAAAACCTAAAATTTCCAAAATTAAGCTCTTAAACCCCTGCCCTCCTTTACCACACATAGGATATTTCAATTCTCCTGCAACTCTCAACTCGGCCATTCATTTCACCAGTTTAATAACTGAGCAAAACAATGGAGACATCCTTGAGTCTTTTCCTTTTGTCAGAACTATAACTAAACTACATTTAAAATATATCTAGAATTTGACTGTTGCTTACCACTTCCACTGATACCAGAATAGCTGGAACATCATTTATGTTCTGATAAACTGAATAGCCTCTTAACTGTTGTGATTCTAACCTTGTCCCATTGCTGCTTATTTTCCCCATAGTTATGTGATCCTAAATTGCAACATACTAATCTATGCTTACAGTTCCAAAAGACTTTAAATTTCACTTACATTAAAACCCTTTGTCATATAAAATTCAACATACAATCACTCTCACTATCCATGTCTTCACTGGTTTCTTTCTTTTCTGTGATCATGCCAGGTCTCTCTCTCTTTAGGGCCTTTGTTCTTGCTGTTTTCTCTCTTGGATCATTTTCCTCCAAATATTATACTGGTACCTAGGTCTCATTACTTTCAGTTTTTTGCTTGTGTCAACTCAACAGAGATTTTGTAAATACTCTCTCTATAATAATACATGCCATCATTCTTTATTCCTATTTCTCTACTTTACTTCACACATAGTACATAGCTAACCACAGTTATATATGTACAGTACATAAAAGTAAATATTTGTTGAGCTAACAAAATTAATCACGTTGTGATGGAGACAGTTTTTTATTGTGTGTGTTTTCATGTGTGTGCACATTCATGCAGGTAAGCAAACATACAGATTAGTGTGTATGAAAACTAGGGGAGAACCCTAAGTGTTTTTCCTTAGGAGCCATCCACCTTGTCTTTTGTCTTTCATTAGCCTGAGGATCACTAAGTAAACCAGAGTTCGCTGGCTACCAAGCTCCAGGGATTTGCCTGTCTCTGTTTCTCCAGCATTGGGATTACAAAGGCAACACTGGATCCATTGTTGCTGGTTCTAGGCATCAAACTTAGGTTTGCAAGGGAATCTCTTCATCAACTGAACCATCTCCTTAAATCCAAAGGCAGACTTCTTGATGACTACATTTTCATGCATGAATAATTTAACCTTACCCTTGGAATGCCAAAATGTATGTAGAACAAAGATAAATAGAAAAGAGAAACTACAAGTCTACTGCTTGAGTCTCCTAACTTGTCTAAGAAAGAAGGAGATCATGAGTCAAGTCTTGGCTGCGTGAGGTTTGTGATGTGATTCTGCACAGCAAGATTTCAGAAGAAATCTTTGGGAGAAGATATTTAATTACAAATACTAAGATTAAAATACACAGATCCTTCCAAAAGAAGCTTTTGTCCTGTCCTCTATCTGGAACATGGTTGGATATTTGGAGGTATTGTGACCATTTTCAACCATGAGGATGTAACTCTGATGACAATTTTAAGCTGCTAGATAAACCTTTCATTGCTTGTCTCTGGACTTCCAATGTATGAAATAAATAAGCTCTCACTTCTGTAAACCACTTCGTAATGATATGTCCATCCCTCAGAAGACTACAGTTTCTGGTTGTTTTATCTTACTAAATTTAGTGCTTCCATCACAACTCTGCCACTGCTCCAAATATACTTACTGGACTGAATGAAAGGTACTGAATTTCCAATCTATGATTCAAATGAGTCCCCCTCTGCACATTTAAAGTTGCTTATATACCATATAAGATTTCACCTCATGGACAATAAAAAAAAAAAAAATCACAGAAATTTAAAGCTTGAAGAGGTTAGCATTTACTTAGTGATAAATCTGAATAATATTTGATAATCATTATTATAGCTCAGTACTTCAAAAGGATTATGACTTATCACTCACAGTTGAAATGTAAATTTAATAATAACCCACTTTGAGGTCTGAGCTTAGTCAATAAATATTGTAAAAACATACTGCCATATCAGTATAATTAAAAATAACAATAGACAGTGAAAAACAATCATAAAGATATGCAGATTTCAGCTTTGAATTTTTTGGTGATACTTTATGGTACATATTATGTATAAATCTACAAAAGCTGTCCTAAAAAGTTTAGGTTTTAAAAAATTTATTTAGTTGTATAGGATTACTTGTTCAACACTATTTGTAACAGAATAAAAATATTTTAGACAGCAAATCTGGTTACCAATATCAATCAACACCCATTTATCAAGTGTCCTTTACAAACCAGATACAAGTAAGGAGTAGGGATATGCAAAATAATATGTACCTGGCCATGAAGAACATTATAGCTCAGCAGAAAGGGAAAGTATACAGTTAAGTAACAGGGCCTTTACAAAGGTTGGTAGTTCTCTCTCTCTCTCTCTCTCTCTCTCTCTCTCTCTCTCTCTCTCTCTCTCTCTCTCTCTCTCATCAGTTACAGTGTAGGTATCTACTAACCATGAGAAATCTCTCCAACTCTGAAAATATTTTGTATCTTGTTTATAACTTCTTCTGGCACTTGCCCTTCTCCATCTTATGCTATATGTATTTAATACCTGCCTTATTATTCTTAAATTATATACACGAAAGCATAGCTTATGTTATTAATTTCTATATCTTTTGTCATTTCAGAGTAGTGCATTTATTAAATACTTTAGATGAGAATGAATGCAAAAATCTTCAAACATATTTCAAACTTGGCTACAAAGAGAAAAACTGCCTTCTGGCTGATGTTATACTTCTCTAAATATTGGATATTTAGAAAAATGGTTCCAGACCCATGGCCTGCAAGCCCTCTCTGTGACTAAGTCACCTTTCCTAGGTGTACTTACAACTTGTCTTAGTAAGGGTGTATATTGCTGTGATGAAACTCATGACCAAAAAACATGGGGGAAGGAAAGGGTTTATTTGGCTTACACTTCATCAGTGCTGTTAATCACTGGAAGAAGCCAGGAGAGGAATTCAAACAGAGCAGGATCCTAAAGGCATGAGCTAATGTAGAGGTCATGGAAGGGAGCTACTTACTGGCTTGCTTCCCATAGCTTGCTCAGCCCTTTCTTATAGAGCCTTGAAACCACACAGACACAGACACAGACACAGACACAGACAGACACACACACACACACACACACACACACACACACACACAGACTCAGCAGGTTGTACTTACATATTTGTACACACACAATTTCACTTTGAACTAGGGAATTCACTCACAGCCAGGAAAGGACAGCAGAAACTGTGGCAGATGTGGCTGGCTTGATGGCTCACTGTTAAGCTCATGCTCATAGAGTTCCCTTATACTATTCAGACATGAATAGTCAGTGAACTAGGCCCTCTATGTCAATTAATAATCAAGAAACCCCCCTGCAGACATACCCACAGGTCAATACAACCCTCAATATAGGCTCTCCTAGTAGTGTTTTCTATGTTTTTAGTTAATTCATTGACAGAGTTAACTAAGACAAACAGAAAAAATAATTTTCTATTAGCAAATCTATTTTATGGTCTCAAATGAATTCTGATAGCAACCTTACAAATGGCTATATGTAATTTTGTCTGAAAGAGAATCTCCTTTAAGCTATATTGAATTAATCCCTACTACAAAACAAAATAGACATGAAAAATACTTGTCTTACTAAAGAAAAAGTAATCAAGAGAATATTTATTGAACTTACCATAGTAAAAGTACTGGGATATATTATTATCACTGAAAATTTGTAGGTTGGAAACTTCAAAGTAACTTAGGACATGAGACCTTTTAATAGAAACCAAGAACAAAACTGGAGGGGAGAGTCTATACATTCTCTCTAGTAGTAGCATCTTGAATTGAGCCAAGAGTGATAGCTTTAATTACCTGTTACCTAATTAACAAAATTCCTCAGCAATATGTATAATTTTCCAAAGCAGAGCTACAACATTCAATTTATTCTAAGGTGGGAAAAATTGATGCTGTATTTTTCTCTAATAAATCTACTTTTAGATAGGTAAAGTTTAACTGATTTATCCTTTTGTATTTTTACGTTCTGGCTGGATAGGATATTGACCATTTAAGAATTGTTCCTGGAAAGTGCTCAAATCCCCATTGAGATTTCCTATCATCCATGCAACAGTTACAGTCATTGTAATGACTGCATATGTACTTTCATGCATAAGCTCATATACAGAAATGAGTAAATTAATTAAAAAGAACTTTTGCAGAAATGGTAAAAATTTACTCAGGGACATGGATGAATGCTAAATGTCATTTATATAATATAAGAAGGCCTCTAGTGGAGCACAGATAAGACAAAGAAGTGTTCAGATTATAGATTAAAATATAGTAGCACAAAATGTTCATGCAGGTTCTTTGTGATTAAATCAAATCCTCAGGAGAAAGTCCTGTTATTCATAACAATAAGAATTTCCTAAACTACTTAAAGTATAAACAAATATTGTTGGATATACTGGCAATCTTAAGGAAGGGTCTTGGTTTGTCCTTGTTTATACCACAGCTTTCAGCATCACCTAGTGTTTGGAGGTAGAATCCCCTGTATTTCTATTTCCACTCTCTTTTTGAATAGCAGATGGTATAGAA